TTCCCACCCCCGCCTCCCCTGTAGTCTAGCATCTCCATATTTTAAAAAGCTTTCCAGAGGGTTAGGAGATTTTCCTCTCTTACTAAAGGGTCTCCTCCCTCCAGCTGTTTGTGCACATTGAGTGGGACAACAAAATAAGATTCTGTGCCTGGCTTGTATCAGTGAAGGCTGCTGTTAGTTTCATCTTCCTTCTTTCTACTGCTGGTTTCTGACTAGAGTAACTGTTGCCTTACATATGCAACAATACTGGCCTGGAAGTTTGCTCCCAGTCTTCCCAGGGAAATCTTTTTTTTTTTTCTTTTGTGCACAGATTTATTTTGAAATGTATTTTTAAAGCTAATTAAAAATTATATATATTATGATTTGGGTGAAAGGTTACAGAGCCAGTTCATTTCCCATACAGCAGTTTATACACATTTTGTTTCATGACATTGACTGCGGTTCCCCACAGTGTAGCAGTTCTTGCCCCACTTTCCCCCTGTAGTTACCTCTTCTCTGTGTCCTTCTTTCCTATGCATTCCTGCCCCCTGAGCTGTCTCCCTGTGCAAATACTGTACTTTTGTTCTCCCATGATTGATCATCCTAAGGAGTGTATCTGCTTGATGTAAATTTCACACACACACACACACACACACACACACACCGTATGCCTGTCTATTGTTTGCCTGGAAGCCACAGGAGTGAGTTCAGTTCCAGACCTGAAGGGTGACTAGGGGCCATAGTCTCAGGGGTCTCACCAGGCTCTACCAGACAGCAAACCTGGTCTTTTTTTTATGATTTTGAGTTTTGGTCCACATTGTTCTCCCACTCTATCCAGGATCTCCTGCACCGATCCCCCTCCAAGTGGTTGGCAGTGGTAGCCAGGCACCATCTAGTTCTGGTCTCATAGTCATAAAAGCTTCTGGTGTCATAGTCATAAAGGCTGAGGATCGCATGGTGTACCAGTCGCTTGGACTAATTGTTTCCATGTGTCTTTGGTTTTCTTCATTCTTCTTTTCTGTAGATGAGGAGAGACCCATCATTGCATCTAGATAGCCGCTTGCAAGCTTTTAAGACCCCAGTCACAACTCACCAAAGTAGGATGTAGAACAATGTTTTTGTGTATCATGGTATGCCAATTAAGCTTGATGTTCCCTGCAACCATGGTCCAGAGCCCACAGGTCCCACTACTCACTCCCTCAGGTAACTGGCTGTGGCCAAGAAGTCACAGCCTTACCCCTTGTCAGCTGTGCTATACACCCAGACATTCTTATAGCACATACAGATATGCATGTAGAAACATCATCTGCCAACCCTGTACATGGTCATGGGCATATCCCCCCTGCATAGACACCCTGATCATTCAGCCTGTCCACCCATCTATCTGCCCATAGATCAATGCTTGCCATCACTGACAGCACAGTACTGTACATGCAAAAGGGTTTGTCTTTGTTGTTTGTACCTCCCATATACCACTCTCTGTCTTCCTCTTCCTCAGTTCTACTGTGTTGATTAGTCATTTTTGGTACATTGCCCTTCCCTTCACCCAAATCAATACGTGTCTCTACTTGGTGTAGAGACCCTCTTGAGCTGACCAGGAGGCCTGTGGCTGGCTGGGATTTAGGTTGCAGGGTCTCCAGAGTAGTGATAGAGCCAAAGTCACCCTTACCTCCTTCCTGCACCAAGAAGAAAGAGGTGTCAGCTCTGAGAATCCAGATATCTGAAGTTAGAGTACCTTCCCCCCGCTCCCACACAGCCAGATCGCTGTTCTTCCTAAGTGTGGGAGACTGCTCCTCTCAGCAACTCCTCACCTGCACAATGGACAGGCTAGTTAGCGCCCTTGCAGGACCACCAGGAGGATTCAATGAGATGATGTAGGCCAAGCCCTTAGCACAGTGCCTGGCACACGGGGGTGGCACTGCCTCTGCTGTTGGGAGTTGCTGCCATTGCTTACTGTCATTGCCATAACCGCTGTCATTATCTGTGACAGAGCCAGACAGCTCCATGGGGACCCAGTGAGTTCCAGGAGCTCCAGGCCCCAGAAGTGCACAGGCTTTTCCCACACGTGCATCACAACAGTGAGTCTGTTCCTCCCGAGCACGCCCAGGAGCTGCTGCACCGTAGCTGTGGAGATCAGTGTCCTGTTGATCAGATCTGTTAACATGCTCAGCTCCAGGTCTGAAATGTACAAAGAACAGGGCCTGTTTGTTCAATCCAAGCTTCTAAGGTTTAGCTCCCAAAGGAAATTAAATTAGGTGCCTGGAGCTATGACAGTCTGTCGTGTTTCTTTGCAGGGAATGTCATCCTTAATATCATGCAGACTTCATGTATAATTTTTCCCCTTTAATCTTTTTAAAATAGTGTGGTTTCCAGCAGGAACCGGCAAGTCATCAAAAGTGAAAATTATGGAGGCAAAAAGGTGTAAAAAAGGAGGATCAACTGGGGTTTGTCCCCATTTTTGGTCTTGCTGTCCCCTCCCCCCATTGAGTACAGACTAAGTCCACACACAGATGGTCCCAAGCAGCCAGGTTGCTCCACTGAAAGTGGCCATAATGCACCCTCTCCAGCACCAATTCCAGACCTTGGTCAGGGGTTCTGATGTAGGACTGAACTCTTGTCTTAAGTCCCATTGGGTTGCCATAGCCCCCATAAGCCCTCCCCACCCCCAATCTAACCCTCCAGCACTGTTAGAATCCCAGGACTTATTAATCTCTCTGGCAGAAAATCACTCCCTCCAAATTATTTGTGGGTTCAAATCCACTCAGCCTAGCCCTAGCTGGAGCCGTTGTAATATAAATGGATTTTAGGTAAGCTTGTGTTTGTGCTACCATTTGCAGAGATGGCAACAAGCCCCGGAAATGCCAGAAATATGAATGTGTCTTTTGTGTTACTCATGCAGATTGGTGATAACTGGAAACTGAACTTCTGGGGGAAAAAACACTGGGATGAGAGGCTGTAGGCTGTGATTGGAGAAGCGGCCGGCCCCAGGTTGGAGAACTGGGGTGGGCACGTCCCTAGGCCGACTTTGCCTCTCTCCCTCTGTTGCTGAGCTCTACTTGTTCCTATTTGTCTCTGGCTTCACTCAAGGCCTGTGCTTCTAGAACAGAACCTTTGAGGAGGAGATGTGGATTGGGGTCAGAGCTGGTTTTGTTCCTGACTCTGGGCTTGAAACCTGGGAAAGAGAGGTGTTTGACTCCCTGTCAAACAAGGAAGGCTGCTTGTCTCTGTGGAGAATGGGTTACCTTCATGCCTATGTCCCCAGGGCCAGCCTTAGCAGAGGTGCCCAGGGAATGCTTAGGAAATCGAATGGATTGATAGGCGGATGAGTGAAAGAATGAATCAGCGGGCAAATTTCCTGAGGGTAAAAGGATTCAAAAACAGTTCTTCAGGTATGAACTTTGGAGTCCAGACATAACTGAGATGTGGTCTTGTCTCAGCCACTCATGTGACATCAGGCAAGTTAATGTAACCTCTCTGTGCCTCAGTTCCTCATCTGGAAGGAGACTGAAGGAAATAAGATGGAGCAGTTAGCACAGTGGCTGGGGGGTCTTCTGCTCACTTGGAGGTAGCTGTCTCATTCCTGCTCCCACCTCCGCCCTATCAACTTCCTTCCTCTGAAGCCTTCCATCCGGTGAGGTCCCGGGCATCTGCTTGCTCACCTCCTTGCCCTGCCAGTTCACTTTATCTCACAGGGTGACTCCATTCTGATGTTTGATGCTTCAGTTTCCAGTGCAGCTTATAGAGTGGACACCTTCCAGGGGAACCTGCTGGGTATTTTCTTCAGTTCTTGGTTCCCATCCTTCTCACAGGGAGAGTTTCCCTCCAAGGAGCCCCTCACCCTTGTCTCTACCCTCTTGCGTCTGTCTGTTGGTGTACTCTCTGCCCCACCCAGGGTCTGCGGAAAGAAGCAAGGTGGAGGCAGGTAGAGCCACAGCTAGGGCAGGGTGGGGCGGTGCAAACAGGTTTGCTGCAGAGGCCCCAGGAAAGCACAGGGAGGGTGAGGTGACGGAAGGGTCAGATCTGGCAGAGGAGCCACCTCCTCGGCCAGGGCCCAGTGTGGTGCAGGCCTAGAGCAACCTTGGCCCGCCTCTGTGGAGCCAGCCTGGCCAGAGGAGAGGCTTGGGAGAAATGGACCAACCGTCAGGTTGACAAAGGCCAATTTTGGAGGCCCTGAGAGTCTAGAGGGAGATTTTAAGCATTCCCATTGGCTGTGGAAACTTCTTGAGGGCGTGGTGGTGGTGGTTGTACAGACCACCCTAGACGATGAGGCGGCAGGCGGCAGACTAGAGCAGTGTGCGATGGGAGAACTGAGGTGAATAGAGAAGACCTCCGTGAGGGAAGCCCCGAAGAACTCAGCAGCTGAGTGGGGCTGCAGCCTAAGAGAATGTGGCTCCAGGTGGATGGAAATGGAGGGTCCCTTGCCCATCTGTAATATGAGGGAGGCTGGTCCCCATTCTCCAGCTTCTCCAGCCCAGAGGTTGGTGGCTGTACCTTGTGGGGCATTTCCAGATTCCAGACAAGGCTTGTATTCCAAATCCAAACAGATTCCTTTTGTCCTACCAAGTTGGGGGGGCATGTGAGCCTGCTGTGCGAGGAGGGTGTTGGCAGCAGCTCCGCTCTGCCCCTCGCCTTTTCTGTTTCCCTTCTTCTGTGCTGCAACATGCAGGAGGCCCAGACAGCCAAAGGACTTGTGGGTGGTTTGTTTTTTTTTCCCCTTTCCATCTCATCACTTCCATCTCCCTGCTGGGACCAGCACCACCAACCCTCTAGGTCTCTTCACCTTCCTTCTCCATTGTCCTCTCTGTCATCAGCCCCAGTCCCTCTGATATGGCAGGCAGGTGGTGGTGGGAGGTGGTGGGGGGTGGGGAGAGGAATCCAGCACTTGCCTCTGCCCCTAGAGCAGTCACCATCAGGAGCTCATACCTCCTCCATTGCCAGAGGACAGAGCCACAGCTTGGCAGTTGGCAAAGAGAGACCATATATTAAAAAAAATAAAAGCCTGCCTTGTGCCTCCTTCCCAGATTCTGTTGACTGAAGAGTTTGTAGAGAAAATGTTGGAGGACTTAGAAGATTTGACTTCTCCAGAGGAAGTAAGCCTGTTTGATTCTCTCCGAAAGTGGGCTCCAGCCTCCAGCAGCATGTGCATGTCTTTGTGCTCGTGTGTGTGTGTGTGTGTGTGTGTGTGTGTGTGTGTGTGTGTGTGTCTGCACCTTCGGGCGCCTCTCTGAGGGCTGGGGAGAGGCTGGGTAGGAGACCCCAGACACGCTGAATGGCTTCATTTCTTTTCTGTTCCCCTGAACCACCCCCCACCCCCAGTCCTTGTAAGGACACTCAGCAAATTGTCTGAATTGCCAGCTCCTGAGAACCTCATTGAAGAGGCAGCCAGGGCCTTTAGTATGAGCGTGCCCCAGTCCCTGCTGTTCCCTGGCAGGTTCTGAACAGAAGGCCCATGTCTGCTGCCAGAGAACATTCCCCTGGGAAGTTCTGGTGGGCAGTGAGGGACCCCTGCTCCTTCCCTGGGCCACCCAGGAGTCACTCTCCCTTCTTCCCTTCCCAGCCACGAGTTTTTCCCCTGTTAGCCTCTTCCAGCCCTAAATCAGAGCCAGAGGAGCTGGCAGGCCAGGTGGGGCTTATGCTTTCCCCGTCCTGCCCCTCTGGGGTACAGGAACAGAGCCCATAATCCTTTGTTTTTCTTCCTTGTTCCCGGCATCCTCATTTACAGGGATTTACCTCATTCTGGAAAGTCCCTTCCCCTCCCCCTGCCTGCTGCTACCCAGCACCCCAGTGGGCTCTGGGCTTTTGTGGCCTCAGTGCCTGGTGGGTTAGTGGAATACTAGCAACCTGGCCCTACTTCTGGAGATCCCCTGCCTGTGACAGACACAGACCCTTCCCTCTACCAGGAGTTGCTTGGGGGAGTGTTCCTTCAGCTCCCAGGGCCCAGGTGGGAGCTAGGCTTCAGGCAGGCTGGAGCTCCCAGCTGCCTGGCTCCCAAGACCCCGAGGCCCCTGCTGTTGAAAAGGCTGACTAGCAGGCACAGGGCGGGGTCTCCAGTTGAACAGAAACCCCCTAGAGCCTGAGGCCAGCCCTGATAGGATAGTGTCTTCTCTGTCCTCTGGGATGCAGCTTGATAAATTCATACATTCATCAGCCACTGAGCACCCAGTCTGTGCCTGCCCTTGTGCCAGCCGCTCATCCCCCACAAGGCACTGGCCCCTGAGGCCCAGCTCCCCATTCAGCCAGACCAGAGCCAGCTGCCCAGAAGCGCTTCCGGAGAGGCCTTGTCACACTGGGGTGGCGCTGCGCCAGACTGCTGCTTAGAGCTAGGGTGTTGAGGGGGTAGGAGGGGGACAGTCCAGGCAGGAGGAACAGGAGCCAGGGGATCTTAGGAAAGTAGGTCACTAAAAATGACTTTTTTTTTTTCCCCCTGTCCAGAGACTATCCCCACCCTGCACCGCTCTCCTGTTTGGTTCTGGCATGGCCAGTCCCCCAGCGGGGGGGGTGGGGAGAGGGAGCCAGGCAGGAAGTGTTCGGCCTGTCCACTTGCAGCCCCAGCCCTGGAAGGCTGAGAGCCGTGCTGTGCTCTTCCTTCCAGCCTGGCCTTGACTCCTTGCTTAGCCCTGGGACCGTGGGAGACATAAAAGACAAACCCTGTCTCCCAGCTCCAGCATCAATCCGAGTTAGTGAGCATCTATTGAGCACCAGCTGTGTGCCAGACCACACGCAGAGTTCTGCCCTACAGAGGGAACAAGCTATGTCAGCCTGTCCCCACTAGCTCCACCAGCAGCCCCCAGGCCAATGGGAGAAACAAAACTGGAAGCAACTTGATTCCCAGGGTGGGGCAGGAAGACCTTGAGTGCTCCTTGGCCACTGCTGGGACCACTCTGAGGCATGTAGCCTGAGAATGAACACCAGGGAGCAGGGTGGGGTTCTTCTGCTCCGGAAGATGCTTCAGACCCAAGAAATCACTTCAAGGCACATTCCTCCTGCTCCTCCGCTCCCACGGAGGCCACAGCAAGGGGCTGACTTTGGGGCCGAGCCAGGACTTTCTTCCCTTTGGACCCTTTGGCAAAGGCTACAGAGGGCAGGTTCCAGGGTCCTTCCCGTACCAGAGGCCGTGGCAGGGACAGGACCAGAGTCCCCAACCTCAAGCCACTTCCCTGGAGCATCAGGCACCCTCCTCCATCCCTCCATCCTCCAGCCCCAGGGCCTCTGGGAGCAGATTCCTTACATGTTTGTGGCTGGAGGCAGAACCAAGGAAGTGAGCCGGAGGGAGGTCAGCACAGTGAAAGAGTTAGGAAACATGCCTCCTCCAACCCTGGTTAATTATTGTCAGGACCAGGGAAAGAAGGGGTCACCAAACTCCAGCAGCTTCACCCAGCCACCCATCTGGGCCTAGCATTTGAAATTGAAACTAAGGATCCAGTTGCCCATCTTGCCCTCCAGCACGCCTGGGACAGGGTCTGGGTGAGGGTCCTAGCTCTAGGCACCCATGGGGGTCGTGACTTCTGCTAACCGTGTGCGCTGGGTGTGTGGTTTCTCCCTCCACAGTTCAAACTTCCCAAAGAGTACAGCTGGCCCGAGAAGAAGCTGAAAGTCTCCATCCTGCCTGACGTGGTGTTCGACAGTCCACTGCACTAGCCTGGGCTGGGCCCTGCAGGGGCCGAGGGGGAGCCCAGCCGCTCCCCAGTGACTTCCAATGTAACAAATGCAGAAAAGAGAGTCCCACGAATAAAAGGAGACATGTGAGGATGACTGTGCAGCCTCTGCACCCTGCACCCGCAGCCCGGTGGGATGCCACGCCCAGGCCATGCCCCCTACCCCACCCCCGCTGACCTCCAGCTCCGAGCGAGCTTCGAGCGAGCTTCGAGCTTCGTCCACCCGGCCGGCCAAGCCCGTGTGACCAGGCCGAGGCCCCACTAGCCAGTGAGTGGGTAAACACACACCTTCCCCTCCTGCCGCCACCCCTGGTTCTAGTTTGAGCTTTGGCTCTGCGATGTGCCCCAGGCTAAGACAGGCTTCACTCTCACCTGCCCCTGCAGGGAGGCAGGGACCCACCAGTGCCAGGCCTGGATGTGGGTGTGCTGCCTGGCTCCGCTCTGGAGAGCCCTGATGGGCAGGCTCCTCTGGCCACCGAACAGTTCCTCTCATCGCGTTTGATTTTCTTCCTCCTCATTTTATTTTTTAGAAACCGGATGGTATTTTAATGCTCTGCAGAGATGTCCAGAAGCCGTGTATATAATGTTTTTTAAACAACTCTGCTCCCAGATGAACTTTCTCATTCCCTCAGACAGAGGCCCGGGGCTGTCTCCCCCTGCACTGCCACAGGAGAAGGTGCTGCCAGCCCAGGCGCTGGAGGAGCCAGCTTCACAGAGAGGCTTTTCTTCCCGGCTGGGCCCGGAGGAGCTTGGGACGGGGGAGAGCTGAGACACACTCCCCTGTGCAGCCTTGAGCCCAGTTGAGCTAGGGCTAGGAAGGGGTTCAGCTGTGTCTCAAGTGGCTGGGGCCCCACAAGGTTGAGGGACCATCAGGGTCTCAGAAATGTGGTGGGCCCAGCCTCATCTTCCAGGCCTCTTCACCCAGTCAGGCCACCTGGGAGAGAGGGAGGCCCATCATCTTACAGACTATGCTCACCTGCCGCTTAGGCCCTGGATCACAGCTCTTTGACCACCTCCGTCCCATTTCTCTGTCCCCGGGCCGCCTAGCCTCCAGGCTGCAGAACTCTGGTTTCTTAAAAAGTGAGAAGGCAACCTTGACATCTCTTCCACTTCCGTTTTGCAAACATGGCCCTCTGCTTCCCTCCTCGCTTCCTGCACCTGTTCATTTCGCATCTTTTCCTTCCTCACTCCTTGTGACTCTTTTCCTGCATCCCTGGCCTCTGGGGTCCTTGGTCCTTCACCCCAAATACTACAGCTCTCAGTGTTCCTCCTGGAAGCCAGCTTCTCCCTGGCCTTTGGTTTTGAGGTGGTTCTTGGGAGCGCCTGGGCTGGGATCAGCAAGCCCCTTTCTTGTCCTCACGCTCCCTGACTCCAGGGATTGCCACTTCAAAAATCATTCTCAGGCCTCCCCAAAGCAGTCATTTTTGTCTGTCAGGGCCCATGCAAGTATCCTCACCACCCCTACCTGTCCCCGCCACCCACACACAAATGCACACATGCAAATACACACACAGAGTCACTACAGGGGGTGCAAGACCCCTCTGATGAGAGATCTAGCCAAAGAGCTGCCTCAAGGAGCAATGAGGGTGTTGCCAAGACTCTCCAGGGGGCAGGAACTGAGCCTCAAGGGTGGATGCGGCCTGACCCCTTCCCCAGCACCCCCCCCAGAGTATTCAGTTAGCCCCATCCAGGCTCTGTGTTTCAAGGTCGATCACCCTGGAGGATTGGGCAAGACTGGCGCTGGGACCTTACTAACCAGAATGAGAGGCTTCCCTGGACCTGTTGTTGGCAGCAGCTGTGCCTTCTACCACCCTGAGGACTTATCCAAAAGGACATTTCCTGGCCCTCACCCACCCACCACCGCAGCCCTGCCTTTGGAGCTCCTGTATGTGACATTCATGGGCAGAGGCACCATCATCTTGCCTGCTTTCCTTATCACCCTGACCTGCCTCTCCTTAAATCTCTTCCTTCTGGTGACCTGCCTGAGGACTTTCTGCTGCAGCCCATCCTGCCCTCCCTCTGCCTGCTTTTGGAGGAGGGGGTGGCATTTTCTGAGCTCAACTCTTATCATTTATGGGAAGTGTGTGATCAGCAGCTTGCCCCCAGCCTGCAGGGCCTTTGTGCACTGATGGTCAGCACCACCAGCATGGCAGCCACGTTCCTGGGAAGCGGGGGCAGCAGCAGAGTAGCTTGGAGACAATGAGTGGGACCGGCCTGCCCTTGAAGTCTATGTCAGGAATCTCGGGAACATCCAAAGTCATGCAGGAGCCAGGCCTCCACCTCCCTTCCCTACAGTGCACTGGCTCTGAGGGAGCAGCAGGCCATCCCCCATCACTGCTCAGGCCTTCTTTTCTGTGGGCAGTGGTGCCTTCCCAGAGGTCTCTGCAGGAAGGGGTTCTCCATGGAGCTTCTGGCTGGTAGAGGAGACCTTTACTGAGGATCAGGCAAGGCTGAGCAGATACCCAGGATAGCACCTGGTGTGTGGAGGGTACTTGGTGAACATACCCCTCTTTCCCTCTCTGCAGCTCTCTGGGAGCTCCTGACCTCACTGTGGGTTGGAAAGGTAAGGCACCTACCACCCTCCCTCTGCCTCTTCTGCAGGCCTCCTTGAGGTTTGGGCATCCTGTCCCACCCCTCTGGGTCCCTGGTGCTGGAGCCCTTAAGAGGAAGGGGCTCCTCTCTGCTGTTCACCTGCTATGGAAGGGGGACTCATGCCCTCTCCTAGGTCCAGTGTGGGTTGCAAGAAGCCAGCAGAACCAGGTGCCATCTTGAGGGGGTGGAGGAGGCCCCATGCAAGGTCTCAGGTCTGGCTGGAGAGCTGGTGCCTCTTCCTGCCCTCCTCCTCCTCTTCCCCTTCCAAAAGAGTGGCCCCAGGGCATGGACAGGAAGCCTTGAAAAGAGTCTCCAAGGGACAGAGTGTTTTTTAAAAATAGACACAGGGTCTTGGAACTGTTTTGAGATTGCGCTGAGCATAGGGAAAACCTGCAGGTCGCTGCCCCTATGGGGTGGATGGTAGAGAATCCCTTCAACTGTATTTTTTTTATCTGGTTGTCTTCCCTCTTTTGACTGCCAGGTCCTTCATGCCAGGTGAGTCACCTGGTCCCGGGACACGTCAGGAACCTTGTAGAGAGATCCCTTCTTTTGTACAAGTACCCAAATGCTGCAACGAGCAGACTTTTGTAAAATTTTATATTAGTTTCTAATGTCAGAGGCGACGCGGTTCTTAGGGGCTGCAGCCAGCCTGGGATTTTTGTAAGGATTTTTGGCTGACTCACTTAGATGTCATTTCTCTCTTGCCTCCTCTTCCTCCATGTAATCTAAGTGCATTAAACATATTTGCAGAAGTGCCTGTGTTGTGTGCTCTTATCTGACTGCCTGGACTAGGAGAGTGGGAAGCTGGGGCCCCTGCAGAGGGGCCAGGTAGACGCGCCCATTTAGAAGAAGTAAGGAGAGGGGAAGGCCTTGAGCACTGTTGGCAGTGAAGTGGGGGTGACGAGGAGCAGGATCACACAGCTAGTGACTCTTCAGTCATGCAGAAATGGCTTTGCAGGGACAGGTTCTCTTTCACTGGTCTTGAATTCCTCTGAGGTCAAGGGGTAAGAACAGGCAGAGACTGTAGGAGATGACTGGGTAGACACAGACCCTCTCTCTGCAACTTCATCCTCTTCTCCCCTCTCACCAAAAAACCTTTCCCTTGGGATGAGGGCCGTCCTTACCTCCAGCTTTGGGGTCCTTGTCCCCTCTTCGAGCCATTCCCTTCACTAAACCAAAACCAACCTCACTGTCGTCAAGTCAGATCCAACTCATAGCGAGCCCTCCTTGGGTTTCTGAGGCAGTATCACTATGGAAATAGATTGCCCAACCTTCCTTCCGAGGAGTGGCTGGTGGGTTTGAACCACCAGCCTTGCAGTTAGCAGTCAAATGCCTTAGGCACTATACCACCAGAGCTCCCTTCCCTTCACCAGGAACCTCCTGATCCAAGGGCCTCATACTCCTCACACTGAGTGACCCAGAGGCCAGCCCACCCTTCCTCTTAGCTCTTTGGAGCAGGGCAGTGGGTCTGTCTGCCTTCCCTGAACTGCCTAGCTCTGCCTCTCCAGAGCCTGGGTGGGTGAAACAGCCCAATGTCCATGGGAGAGAAAGCAAGGGCCTGGAACTTGAGGCAGGCAGAATGGAGTCTACCCAGACAAGGTACCCAGGACCTGGGGGCAGCCCTTAGCCTCACACATTTCTTTCCCTTTCTGCTAGGCATGGCTTTCTAATTGTCTCAGAGAGTGACAAAGCCATTGCTCTTGGTGCCTCGGGGCTGCAGTACCCACGGGATTCTGGTGGGGCTGGTAGCAGTGGTTCCAGGGCATCATAGAAGGGTGGTGGGGGTCAGGGGTATCATCTCCTGCCAAGGGACTCTTAGCTTCCCCTCCTTCCACTGTGACTGCCTACTGAACTCTAGCTGGCAAGTAGCTGGCCTCTGGAGCAGTGGATAGGTCTGAGACCCCTCAATCCTGGCAGTCAAAGCAAAGGATATTAGAGGCTTTAGATCCAGGCTAACAAGCTCAGGGTGGTTCAGACCATGTCCCTTCCCCATTCTCCCCAAAGGTTGAGGGTGGAAGGTGCCTATCTCACCTGATTCTAGTCAAGAAGGACCCAAGGTCCGGGTGAAGTTATTGCCCCAGAGAATATAGAATAGCAGATCTATGCTTAGACAATTCAGAGACATGACCAGCCTGGGCTGGTTTCTGGAAAGAAAAGGGCTCCTGGATCAAGCAGAGACCCCCATCCCTAGATTTGGGGAGGAGAGAAATCTGCCATGTGGTCCTTAATGTCTCCTCATACATTCCTGCCCCCTCTGAGGGAATCTAGGGTCATTGGGAAAGGGAGCCCCATAGATCCCAAGGCTATGGGGTGGAAGAGCCAGAGAGATTTGCCAAACTGGCCTGACCAGAAGGAGAATGTGAGCTGGAAGTGACTCAGTCCAGCCTGCCAGGCACTGAGGCAGCTGGCGGCTGCAGAAAGGGAGGAGGTGGGGAGGCCAGGGTGAGGGCTCCGTAGGATAAGGGACAGAAGTATCCCAGGACTACAGAGGCAGGCCAGGATATGGTCTGGGAGAGGCAACCACCTCTGGGCCCCTTCCTCAGGGTCATAGTGGACTGACTCAGTCCCCTCTTCTCCTCCTCAGTGCCAGGAAGTCTCTGG